AAAAAAAAAAAAAAAAAAAAAAAAAAAAAAAAAGTCAAATGTAATTCTTTATACTTAAATTTAATTGGTTGACACCTCTTGCTGTTAAATTTTGAAGAGCATCTTAATCTCTGTCAAATGAGACACACCTGCGATACTGTAAAATTGCACTCTAACAGTGTGGTGTGCTCAATCTGCCAGAAAAGGCAGCACACTGTTTTGAATTAATAGAGACACTTTTATGCATGGAACTATCTGCTCAAACTATCTTTTTCCATCCTGGATGTGTTTTTGTAACTGAAGGCAAAGACAATTTCCTCTGGTTTTTGAAAAGAACAAGATCTGATAACTATGCATGTCACAAAACATGGCTTCATTAGTATCTCAATAGCATTTTTTTTTAAAGTTATAGAGTAGAATGCCTAGCCTTTTTGCCACTGTAGCTAATTGAACTGAAACCCATTTTAAAAATAATTACCCCAAATTGTCACAGCTTACAAGTTCATAGCAGTAGTGGTCAATCTCTGGCCTGTGGAACATTTGACCTGTGAATCCATGTCATCTGGCCTGTGTGGCTTTCCACAGCTCTGGAAGCTTGGTTGCAAGGGATTAGTGGTATAGTTAACTGCAGCTTCCTTGTAAAATTTCCAGACCTAGAGAGAGCTCCCATGCACTGGGGTCCAGCTTTCAGTTTCTGGTTATAAATTAGTAACTGCTTAGTACCCAGTGGTGTTACTAAGTAACCCAGTCTTCACTAATAGGATATGTATGAAGTTGTACTTAAGGGCACCATTCACAGTTATGATTAAGGTGGAAAGCAAGAAAAGTGCAATTGTAGTGCAGCTACACTGTGACTAGTATCCCTTTTATGAAGTGCAGCTGGTTCTTAAAACCAAAACCTAGATTTTTTTGCATAAGTTTAAGCCAAATAGTATCTAGAGCAAACTTTCTTTTTAAAAAAAGAAAAAGCTAACTATCCATGCGGCTTTAGTGTTTCTGCTGTCTGAATGCATTCATCAGTATAAACATTCATTGCTTTTCTTGATTTAAAGTACACTTTTTTCAATTTCTGAATGAAAGAAGCTAGTATCTGAAGTTAATGAATCAGTCTTTCAGCTCCACTGTGTAAATATTGTTTATTGTATGTTGATTTCTTTTTTATTTTAATAAAAACACTTTAATTTGAAAAGTTGCAAGAATCCAAGAGAAAAACTGCTGTTACCCAGACAGGCACAAAATATAGGGTCTGGTCCTTGTTTGGAGTGTTCATGTGCAAATCAAATTTCAACACAGCTTGCCACTTATACCCATCTACTGCTGACAAGCAGTTGAGAAGCTAGAGATTGTTTCCCAGTCAAACATTTAGCAAAATGTGTAGTTCAGATGGTTTCATCCCACAATTACAAACTACAGCTAGTGGTAACTGAAGTGTCCTCTAAACAGCTATCAAAGGGGGTTTCCCTCATGCTATTAAGAAGCTCTCATTTGTTGCAAGAGAAAAGCAAGCCTTGACATGTACTTACACATGGAAGCAAAGGGTGACTTATGTTCTAGAAGTTATAAGAAACATTGTAACCATTTATAGTCCTTGAACTATGTATTGGTTAAAATACAGTAGAATAGGGGGGAGGGAGAGATACTGGTGTGCTGTCCCATGTGTTAATAGTAGGTAGGGGGGAATGCCTTCAAAGTTTTCCATAAGTTTTTGGGAATGGCCCTCTGGTGGGAGGTGAAGGTAGATCCAAAGGGCAATGGAATAGAATGATACAAATAACATTTTTTGCCAAATCTTTAAGGTGGAAGTAGTATCAGCCAAGGCCTATTCTTTTTGTAAAGAGATTTTACTGCTTTGTAGGGAGTGATCTTTACTTAATAATCCCAGTGTCTCCTTTCCTGTTCAGGGGGTCAGCATCAAGTACTGTACTGTACTGTACTGTACTATTGCAACATGATTTGAGAGAGAATTTTTTTTACTTCACACTGAAACTTCTTGAACTGGAGAGCTTCATGGTAGCCACCTTTTAATTGCCTTTGAAGTAGTTTCTGGAGCTGGAGATTTCCAGTACAAAACCAAAATGAGGGGTTTCATTTAATTATGTTTAAAACTACAGAATCTGATCCAGTGTCACTTACATGTTTAAATGGTGCACCAGATTGTGCCAGTGCAGAGTCAGCTACTCAAGTAGACAAATTCAGCATTTGCTTCGGCTCCGACGAAGGGATGAGAAGAATAAGGAAAGTGAGAAACTGGGACTTTGAAGTGCAGTAACATTAGTCCAAGATTGTTGCAGAGTAAAGCTGCACCATTTACTGTTTCACAATGTTGGGCACATCCTGACCTAGTATGGTTTTCCTCAAGGTTGATTTTTACTAGCAGTGCTAGACTATATTCCATCCAAGACTACTAACATTTAAGCTAGTATCCCCAGTCACTCTCTGAAACCAACTCTCATACTATAAGCATGTATCCCAGTTCACCTGTAATCATTAAGCTGCTTCTGCTTGAAAATATATTTCTATGCCTTTTAATGTAGTGGTTTTTTTAAAATCCTACAACATTAGCTACCTGCTGTGTAACTGCAGGTAATTGATAAATATGTAGTTAGGGGTAAGGATAATTCTCCCCCTTATATACTGTACATTATGTGGGTAGGATTATTAACTGGACAGATGACCTAGAGGCAGCCAAAAGGTCTTTTACTTTGGCTAGTAATAGACATTGCCAAATGAAGATCAGATATGCTGGGTTGTGTTCCATTCCAGCTGATCCACTAGTGGGCAAAAGATACATTGCCTACTATCCCCTCTTCATTTTGCAGACTAATGTTTTCCCCTGCTTTCAAGAAGTGCACCCCTGGCAAGGTCTGAGACCAGGGAAAGCTGAGCAGATAATTCCCATGCAAAAATGGGATCTTCAAGCAGTGAGGGTTTCTGGGGCATAAAGAACCAAACCCCAAGAGCAACTGCCCACCCGGAACAGTTGGAGAATTCAGGTAGCGCCAGTCTGCCTGTGCTTGCCCACCATAAACCAAATAGATGCCTGCCATAATAAAGCAGCACAGATTACTACTTTGTGCCATAACCAGTGGCACAACAAAGCATATGGACATCTATTTGTTTTCATTTTGTACCATCAAAAAATTTTTTATGGCAGTACAAAGTCAGCTTCTGTGTCTATCCTTCTTATCTGCTCACTCTCTACCTGTAGACTATTTTTAAAGCAGTGGGTCTATCTTTGACAACTCCAACTCCTGTAGCTGGCTCTAAGTAAATCAGTCAAATTAAACCATGCATAGGGCACACTCTTCCTACTTCATACCTATCCCGTATGTCTTGGTCTAATAAAATGTATCTTTCTTCGCAAGCTTTTGGACACACACACCCTTCTTCAGGCTGAGGACAAATCCAAGATGTTAAAAATCCTCTAAGGTGGAATATAAATTTCATTTTGCACAGGGGAACTTTGAGGCTGGAAGTCTGATCCCTTAAGTCTGCAAGAGTCTTTGTAGTAAGTTTCTCCTTGATGTGCTGATAAGGCTGTTCTCATCCCTAGAGATGTCAGGAAGGCAAGGAGGCTCAAAAAAAAAAGTTTCCTCCTTGTTCAACAGTAATAAGCTTATTTCCAAAATCAGCTAAAATACAGCATCCTCCAGGGATGAGAACTGCCTTATCAGCACATCAAGGAGCAACTCTCACAGACCCAGGGGAAACAGACTTCCAGCCTCAAAGTTCCTCTGTGCAAAATAAAGTTTATTTTCTACTTAAGAGAATTTTTAATATCTTGGATTTGTCCTCAGCCTGAAGAAGGGTGCATGTGTCCCAAAGCTTGCAAAGAAAGATTTTTTTTGCATTTTTTAGTTGGTCTAATAAAAAGGTATCATCTCTGAACCAAGAGTTCTACAGTTTTGCATTTCTTTTCGTGTCAGACCAACACAGCTAGCAAATACATCCCTGCAGTCTTATTTATGTATTTATTGCTAGTAAGCAATGTTCAGGCTCTTCATCCCAAATTTTAAGCATTTTATGCTTCAGATACAGCTTGATTGCTTGACCTAACTCTGTCATGTTTAAACCTATCTAGATCATCAGAAAAAGTAAAATAAGGATTGTCATAAACCTGAAATTAAGGGACTTGACAGAACCCAAAGTTTTATTGCAAGAAACAAATATACAGATACAAACACAATTAAAAACAAATTATTTTACAAAAGCAAGGTAACTGCTAGTGTGGCAGAGGCTCTTCAGGGATGTAGTGGCCCTTCTCTAGTCCATCTTTTGAATATACTCACGAGGTTTCAGTTTGCAATGGAGTTAAGTCACACCCAGTGTTGAGGTTAAGCATGGAAAAAGACTAATGCTTTAATTCAAATCAAGCAGTTGGTGAACAGTGAGAAAGCCAGCACCACTATTTATAAAATCTTGAAGCAAAACAAGCTGTTTGATTTTGTGAGATAGTCATTGTAAATGCCTTTTGAGCAGTTTAAGAAAGAGTAATAACAAATAGAAAGAAGAGTGCCACACTAATCTTTTGCAGTGTACAAGGACTTCTGTAGTTTTTCCACAACACAGATATTCCCAAAGTCAAACAAGAATCCCAAGTTGGGGGTTGCCTTTACATATTCTCTTCCATCAACTCTGCTCTTATTTTGTTGCTAGGAACAAGAACTTTGGAAGATAAGCTGTTAAAGAACAAACTGCCTTAAAGTAAATTTTCATCCCCACAAGGCTCCTTTTCTAAGATTTCCACTGTTACTATCACCAGCTCAGAACTGCAGCAATTAGGCCCTGTCAGATGCACACACTAATAATTCAAGTCTTCATGTTATTCTTTTGTTTTATATGCTAATGCAACTTGTTTCTTTGAAGGAGTTGGACACTCTTCAAGTTTCC